ATAGATCAATCTATGGTCAGGACTATAGATCAGTCTATAGTCAAACCTATACATCAAGGCTATAGATCAGTCTATAGTTAAGACTATAGATCAGTTTATAATCAAGACTATAGATCAGTCTATAGTCAAGACTATAGATCAGTCTATAGTCAAAACAATAGATCAGTCTATAGTCATGACTATAGATCAGTCTATAGTCAAGACTATAGATCAGTCTATAGTTAAGACTATAGATCAGTCTATAGTCTAGACAATAGATCGGTCTATAATCAAGACTTTAGATCAATCTATAGTCAAGACTATAGATCAGTCTATAGTCAAAACTATAGAACTATAGATCAATCTATAGTTAAGATTATAGATCACTATATAGTCAAGACTATAGATCAGTGTGTAGTCAAGACTACAGATCAGTCTATAGTCAAGACTATAAATCAGTCTATAGTCAAGACTATAGATCAGTCTATAGTCAAGACTATAGATCAGTCTATAGTTAAGACTATAGATCAGTCTATAGTCTAGACAATAGATCAGTCTATAATCAAGACTTTAGATCAATCTATAGTCAAGACTATAGATCAGTCTATAGTCAAAACTATAGAACTATAGATCAATCTATAGTTAAGATTATAGATCACTATATAGTCAAGACTATAGATCAGTGTGTAGTCAAGACTACAGATCAGTCTATAGTCAAGACTATAAATCAGTCTATAGTCAAGACTATAGATCAGTCTCTACAATAGATCAGTCTATTGTCTAGACAATAGATCAGTCTATAGTCAAGACTATAGATCAATCTATAGTTAAGATTATAGATCAATATATGGTCAAGACTATATATAGATCAATGTATAGTCAAGACTATAAATCAGTCTATAGTCAATACTATAGATCAGTCTATAGTCAAGACTGTAGATCAGTCTATAGTCGAGACTGTTGATCAGTCTATAGTCAAGACTATAGATCAGTCTATAATCAAGACTATAGATCAGTCTATTATCAAGACTATAGATCAGTCTATAGTCAAGACTGTAGATCAGTCTATAGTCAAAACTATAGACCAGTCTATAGTCAAGACTATAGATCAGTTTATAGTCAAGACTATAGATCAGTCTATAGTTAAGACTATAGATCAGTCTATAGTCAAGACTATAGATCAGTCTATAGTCTTGACTATAGATCAGTCTAGACAATAGATCAGTCTATTGTCTAGACAATAGATCAGTCTATAGTCAAGACTATAGATCAATCTACAGTTAAGATTATAGATCAATATATAGTCAAGACTATAGATCAATGTATAGTCAAGACTATAAATCAGTCTATAGTCAATACTATAGATCAGTCTATAGTCAAGACTGTAGATCAGTCTATAGTCGAGACTGTTGATCAGTCTATAGTCAAGACTATAGATCAGTCTATAATCAAGACTATAGATCAGTCTATTATCAAGACTATAGATAGGTCTATAGTCAAGACTGTAGATCAATCTATAGTCAAAACTATAGACCAGTCTATAGTGAAGACTATAGATCAGTTTATAGTCAAGACTATAGATCAGTCTATAGTCAATACTATAGATCAGTCTATAGTTAAGACTATAGATCAGTCTATAGTCAAGACTATACATCAGTCTATAATCAAGACTATAGATCAGTCTATAGTCTAGACAATAGATCAGTCTATAGTCTGGACAATAGATCAGTCTATAGTCTAGACAATAGATCAGTCTATAGTGTAGACAATAGATCAGTCAAGACTATAGATCAATCTATAGTCAAGACTATAGATCAGTCTATAGTCAAGTCGTTACTCAACTCAAGACTATAAGATCCAACTATAGTAAGATTATACACAGCTGTTTTTAAATATATATAACCAATTCATTCAATATTTTATTAATTCGTACGCTTAACATACTTATAATGAGAGCCCTAATTTAAGTATTTATTACAGACTTAATAAAGTATGTTTCTGAAATTTCTTTCATATTTCCTTTGATATTTCTACTTAATTATTAAAATAATAATAAATCATATATGTATATAATTTATATATATTTAGTTTAATTTTAATTCTGAAATAGTATAGTATTTATTGTCATAATTATCGGTTGAACATTGTACCTTGTCTTTTAATTGGACTTAACTATATAGACTGTTGTTGAAAGCCCAATTTAAATGTCACTAAATAATTATTGAACAAATAGTATCAAGGTGTAATTACAAGTTGTTTAAAAATGATTTTGAAGTAAAAAGTCGCTTTATGCTTTTTGTGAAAAATATTCGTATACATTCATATGGGAAATCTCGTGTCAAGTGATCAAACTTTAAAAATCGATGTCTTCCGATTTGGATGAAATTTACACCGATGTTAATACTATGGGATAGTAGATCAGGCATAAATTTTCAGCTTAGACCATTTCCTTTAAGAGCTTTGTGGTCACTTAGTGGGAACTTTCCTTTCAAAGCTTTTATTTTGCAGAAAAAGCTATTTTAAGTTTTTTTTTAGAATTTTTTTTAGAAAATGCTATTTAAAGGGTTTTTATAGAAAAAGCTTTTTATCAAGATTTTAAAGCTTTCAAAGATTTTTGTCATAAAAAGCTTTCAGAGTTTCTTCAAAAAGCTTTCAAAACCTTTAAATCTTTTTGCAGGAAAAGCTATTTAAAGTTTTTTTTTTAGAAAATGCTATTTAAAGGTTTTTTATAGAAAGAGCTTTTTATTAAGATTTAAAAGCTTATTTCATAAAAAGCTTTCAAAGATTTTTGTCATAAAAAGCTTTCAAAGTTTCTTCATAAAAAGCTATTTAAAATTTTTTATTTAGAAAAAGCTATTTAAAGTTTTTTATTTAAAAAATGCTATTTAAAGCTTTTTTTTTTTTTTTAAAAAACTTTTTATTAAGATTTCAAAGCTTATTTCATAAAAAGCTTTCGAAGATTTTTGTCATAAAAAGCTTTTTAATCCATAAAATTAAATTTTTCTTTAAAATAATTTTCTTCTTAAAAAATTATTCTTCTAACAGATTTTTCATAAAAAAAAGCTTTTTAAAAAGATTTTTCAGATTTTTTTAGAAAAAGATGTTAGTTTTTTTCAGAAATAGCTTTTTAAAGCTTTATTTCGTAAAAAGCTTTCAACGCATTTTCATAATAAGCTTTAAAAAGATTTTTTTTGCACTAAAAATTAAAGAACGCTTTTAAAGTTCTTTTAAGTTTTTGTTTCTTTTTTTAAGTTTTTTTTTTTTTTAATTGCAAGCTTTAATAAGCTTTTTTTCATTTTCCTTAAAAACATTATTCTTTAAAGAGCTTTCTTTACAAAAAAGCTTTTTAAAAAGATTTTTCAGAATTTTTAGAAAAAGCTTTTTTTGTAAAAAGCTTTTAAACGCATTTTCATAGTAAGCTCTCAAAAGCTTTCTTCATTAAAAATAAAAGGTTTTTAAGCGTTCTTTTCCGTTATTGTTTTTCCAAAAAAAAGATTTTTAATAAGATTTTAGCTTTTTTCAGAAAAAGCTTTTGTCTCAAAAAGCTTTTAAACCCATTTTCTTAATAAGCTTTCAAAAGCTTTCTTTATTAAAAATAAAAGGTTTTTAAAGCGTTATTTTCCGTTATTGTTTATTTTTTAAGTTTCTTTTCGTTGGAAGCTTTAATAAGCTTTTTTCATAAAAATATATTTTTCTTAAAATTATTTTCTTCACCAAAAAATTATTCTTCAAAGAGCATTTTTGATTAAAATGATTATCTTTAAACAGCGTTCTTATATAAAAAAAGCTACTTTTCATTATTGGACTTAGCATATTTGCTAAATAAACACAACAAAAAAAATTGCTTTAATCGTACGATCAAGTTAAACATTAAGTTGTTTTCTGGACATTTACATTAGATTTTTATAACGTTTTGTATTATATACGTTTTTATTTAAAAATTTTATTTTATAAAAAAAACATTTTTGTAAATTTTATTACATTCCCTTTGAAATGCTAATTTCATTTGTTACAAAAATAGTTTTATTTTTAAAAGATGTGCAAAAAACTAGTTTAAAATAGGTTGTATGTGATAACGGTTTCAAGAAAAAGTCTTCTTTTTATATAAAAGTCTCGTTTTAATTTCATACTGGTTTTTATTATTTGTTGTTTTATATTTTGATTAGTTTAAAAATATGTACTAGAGATATTTATTTATGTTAATAAAGGAATTAATTAAGTTTATTTAAATAATCATAAGAATACATAATTTACAAAAAGCTATTTTAAACAACAATTATTTTAGTATTTCCTTAAAAAAAAGAAGACAGAGAATGAAAATCTAGTAATTTGTTAGAAAACGAACACGTTTTGTAATATTTTAGTATTCTATTAAATAATTATTATTCAAAAACTATTAAAAGTTATTAATTGTAATTAGCAAACAACAAAACTATTTTTGTTATAATTTCCATTTAAACTTTAAAATTTTTTATTATGTAAAGTTTTTGGTTATTAAAGTTAAAGCTCATCATAAATATTGATTTTGGAAAATAAGAAAGAAAACAAAAAGCAAAAAAACCCATTAAAAATTCCCCCTTAAAAAAGTGATACAATATTTTGAAACAAAAACCATAAAGAAATAAAAAAACAATATGTTAAAACTATTTTTGACATAAAAGTTAAAATATTCCATAACAACAATTTCTTAATTATTTAAAACAAAAAAAGTTAATTTATTGTTGCAGCAAATTATAACTGATTGATGTTTGAGGATAAACAGAAAGAAGAAAAAAACAACAAGATCTACCAATCGGACACTTTACCCTGAAGAAAACAAAAGACTTAAGACAGCAACCTTAAACTGATTAATAAAATACAACAATTTTGAAACTTTTGTTCATTATTGTTTTTTTTTTAAATTATTTTATAAAAAATCACCAATATTTTCAAAACAACTTTGTTAGTAAACTTTTTATATTGTTATTTTTTTCTAAAACAAACACAATTTTTATTTTTTAAAAAAACTAAATTTTAATTACCTTTTAATACGTTTAGTTACTGTTCAATAAAAATCTATTATTAATAAAGAAATTACACGTTATATTTCTTTCTTTTTTTTATTCAATATTAATTAATATTGCACGTTTTATTGTACTCTGAACACAACAACACAACAAACGTTTCGTTTGTTTTTAATTTTGTTTTTTCAAATTCAAATTTTTTCCAATTCAAACGGTTTCTGTTAATCGTTTCGTTGTCTTTTTAATTAGAAAAAAATTTGTTGTTTATAGTGTGGCGTCCGAGCCAAGACTGAGCATCTCTTGTCTGTTGTCTGGTATTATGAATGTCTTTTGCGAATCGTATCAAAACTAAAGCTGTGTATGAGGTTTGTTGTTTTTATTTTTCGACGTTTTGCTATTGTAAAAAATCAACAAAACTTGTTCTTGATAAAGCGGTTCAATGTATAAGAGGGTTATTTAACATATATTTTATAAAGTGTACAGTGGTTTATCAAAACTTTATAAGAGCTTTTTTTCATAAAAAGTTGAAAAAAACATTTTTATTTTAAAATTTATTCCATAAAAATATTTTTAAAGCTTTTTCTATGTTTAAAGATTTTGTCAAAAGCTTTTTTATGTATGAAAAAAGTAAGAATAAGGAGCTTTTTAAACTTTCTTTTACCTAAAAAGCTTTTTTAACATTTTATTATAAAAAAACTTTTTTAAACTTTTATGTCTTTTTTCGTAAAAAGTTTTTAATAAAAAGCTTTTTTTTTTCTTAAAATATAGTGAAACTTTTTTATAAAAAGCTTTGTTAAGTTTTTTTCATAGAAAGCTTTTGTACGATTTTTTAATAAGAAGCTTTTTTCATTAATTGCTGTTTTAGGCTTTTTTCATAAAAATCATGTTTAAGCTTTTTTCATAAAAAGCTTTTTAGCTTTTTTTCACAAAAAGCTTTTAAGCTTTTTTCATAAAAGGCTTTTTTAAGCATTTTTCATAAAAAGCTTTTTTAATCTTTTTGCACAGAAAGCTTTTTTAAGCTTTTTTCATAAAAAGCTTTTTTAAGCTTTTTTCATAAAAAGCTTTTTTAAGCTTTTTTCATAAAAAGCTTTTTTAAGCTTTTTCCATAAAAAGATTTATTAAGCTTTTTTCATAAAAAGTTTTTTTTTCAAAAAAGCTTTTTTAAGCATTTTCATAAAAAGCTTTTTTCATTAATTGCTGTTTTAGTTTTTTTTTTCATAAAATTTTTTTTAAGTTTAATAAAAAGCTTTTTAAGCTTAAAAAAGCTTTTTTCATATTTTTATTATTTTTTAAGCTTTTTTCATTAAAAGCTTTTTAAGCTCTTTTCATTAAAAGTTTTTTTAAGCTTTTAAGTGTTTTTTATAAAAATCCAATTTAAGCTTTTTGTGAATGTTTTTTTTTATAAAAAAGAAGCTTTTTTTACCTTTAGGATATCATAAAAAGCGTTTTTTTCATAAGAATCACATTTAAGTTATAAGTTCTTGAAGATTTTTTTCATAAAATTTTCTTAAAATTTTTTTATAAAAAGCTGATTTTAGCTTTCTTAACCTTCTATAATAAAAAGTCTTTTTCCATACAAAACTTTTAAATAAAAATTGGTTTTTCATAACAATGTTATTTAAGCATTTGTTTTTCTAATAAAGCTTTTTATTTTTTTTTTTTTTCATAAAAAGCTTTTTAATTTATTTTTTGTATAAAAAGCTTTCTAATTTGTTTTCATAAAAAGCTTTTTAATTTCTTTTTTGTATAAAAAGCTTTCTAAAATGTTTTTATAAAAACCTTTTTATTTTTTTTTCATAAAAAGCTTTGTTAATCTTTTTCCAAAAACAATTTTAAGTTTTTTCCATAAAAAGCTTTTTATCATAAAACATCATTTTAAACTTTTTTCATAAAAATCTTGTTAAGGTTTTTTCATAAACATCTTGTTTAAGCTTTTTCCATAGAAAGTTTTTGTTAAGCTTTTTCCATAAAAATCTTTTTTAAGGCTTCTTCTATAAAAATCTTTATCTAAAAAAATGTTTAAGCTTTTTACACATAAAGCTTTATTTTTTTGATTTTCTGAAAATATACATTATATTACAACTCTAAAAATGTATTCACCTGTAGAGCTTATTACAGAAAAGCTTTGTAATAAAGTAAACAAATATAGAAATGCTAAATATTAATTTGTGTGATTGAATGACTTACAAACCACTGTTCCGGACAATATTAGCCAGACTGGTGGTGGCTTGTCTACTTGTTACGCTAAACTGATCATGCTTTGTTTACTACAAGTTGTCTGTCTGTCTCTCCGTCCGTCCGTCTGTCTGCCCACTTGTGTGCATCTCGTGTATTTTGCCATAGTGTGATAAAAAGAAATAAAAGTTTCTTGCTGTATTTTTAGCAAAAATAAAACAATAACTCTTTCAGGCAAATTTGTTTTAAAATTTCAATTAATTTTACTTTCGATCTTTCAAAAGTTGATAACACTTGTCGGTTTGTTTTTTGTTTCTTTCCTTAATTAAGTGTAACAAAAGGAAACGTAAACAAACGACAAATGATCTACAAAAATCTAAATAAAATTAATCTAAATCAAATAAGAATATAAATATTATTATAAAGCAATAGATAAAAAATTGTATTAAGTATTTTGTAAATATTTTTGGTATTTTTTAAAACAATTTGTCCTTGTCTTGGTGAAAATAAATATTTAAATGTATGAATCAATGTTTACTTGGAACTTTAAACACCAACCCAAAACCAAACCAAAAAATAACTTAAAAGTTAATAATTTAAAGCTGCATTTAAAGAAAAAATTAAGTACAAGTAATTAATAGCAATTGTCTATTTAGTATTTATCTTCTTAATGATCATTCATAAATAACAGATACAAAATCAAACAGATTTTGGTTTTAAATATTTGTGAAACTTAGATTTTTGTTTAGTTTCTTTTTTTTCTTCTTAATATTTACATGCGAAACATAAAGTATCTACATACATACATGCATACATACATACATATGTATGTATAGATTAAATATTAATTAACAAAACTTAACCAATATTTATTGACTAAAAAACAAAAACAAAAAATATTCATGTCTTTCAAAAGTTATTTTAGTATAAGGTGGGTAATTGGACCTGATCTTAATTCTACTACTACTATCTAGATATTTGGCTGTTTCTCCTAAACGGAAAATAACGTATTGTTATAATTCGCACCAAAAAAAAAAAAAAAACGGGGACAACTTTAAGCTGTTTCAATACTATGGAAATTTATCAAATGTCCAATAAAAATATAATAAAAACTACTACCAAAACTGGTAATATTTACCGGTGTTATTAATGCATTTTATACTAGCAAAAGTATTGCTTCCTGAAATTAATAAGTCTATAGTATAGAATTATTAAATAATTATTGTTTTTAAATCTGATTTTTAGAGAAGTATCTTTCCTATAACCCTTGACTTCTTCTATGGAATATTAATTATCAACAGATATTTTCTTCTCTATATGTATGTTATCTATACCATAGACTACATTATAAATTACACTATAAACTAGACTATAGATCAGACTATAGACTAGACTATACTATAGACTAGACTACAGACTAGACTATAGACTAGACTATAGACTAGACTATAGACTAGAATATAGACTAGACTATAGACTAGACTATAGACTAGACTATAGACTAGACTATAGACTAGACTATAGACTAGACTATAGACTAGACTATAGACTAGACTATAGACTAGACTATAGACTAGACTATAGACTAGACTATAGACTAGACTATAGACTAGACTATAGACTAGACTATAGACTAGACTATAGACTAGACTATAGACTAGACTATAGACTAGACTATAGACTAGACTATAGACTAGACTATAGACTAGACTATAGACTAGACTAGACTATAGACTAGACTATAGACTAGACTAGACTATAGACTAGACTATAGACTAGACTAGACTATAGACTAGACTATAGACTAGACTATAGACTAGACTATAGACTAGACTATAGACTAGACTATAGACTAGACTATAGACTAGACTATAGACTAGACTATAGACTAGACTATAGACTAGACTATAGACTAGACTATAGACTAGACTATAGACTAGACTATAGACTAGACTATAGACTAGACTATACACTAGACTATAGACTAGACTATAGACTAGACTAGACTATAGACTAGACTATAGACTAGACTATAGACTAGACTATAGACTAGACTATACACTAGACTATAGACTAGACTATAGACTAGACTATACTAGACTATAGAATAGACTATACTATGACTAGACTACAGACTAGACTATAGACTAGACTATAGACTAGACTATAGACTAGACTATAGACTAGACTATAGACTAGACTATAGACTAGACTATAGACTAGACTATAGACTAGACTATAGACTAGACTATAGACTAGACTATAGACTAGACTATAGACTAGACTATAGACTAGACTATAGACTAGACTATAGACTAGACTATAGACTAGACTATAGACTAGATTATAGACTAGACTATAGACTAGACTATAGACTAGACTATACACTAGACTATAGACTAGACTATAGACTAGACTATAGACTAGACTATAGACTAGACTATAGACTAGACTATACACTAGACTATAGACTAGACTATAGACTAGACTATAGACTAGACTATAGACTAGACTATAGACTAGACTATACACTAGACTATAGACTAGACTATAGACTAGACTATAGACTAGACTATAGACTAGACTATAGACTAGACTATAGACTAGACTATAGACTAGACTATAGACTAGACTATAGACTAGACTATAGACTAGACTATAGACTAGACTATAGACTAGACTATAGACTAGACTATAGACTAGACTATAGACTAGACTATAGACTAGACTAGACTAGACTATAGACTAGACTATAGACTAGACTATAGACTAGACTATAGACTAGACTATAGACTAGACTATAGACTAGACTATAGACTAGACTATAGACTAGACTATAGACTAGACTATAGACTAGACTATAGACTAGACTATAGACTAGACTATAGACTAGACTATAGACTAGACTATAGACTAGACTATAGACTAGACTATAGACTAGACTATAGACTAGACTATAGACTAGACTATAGACTAATGACTAGACTATAGACTAGACTATAGACTAGACTATAGACTAGACTATAGACTAGACTATAGACTAGACTATAGACTAGACTAGACTATAGACTAGACTATAGACTAGACATAGCTAGACTATAGACTAGACTATAGACTAGACTATAGACTAGACTATAGACTAGACTAT